CAAAACAAACAAACAAACCAGTATAATTTCATTTCAATTCTTTGATTGCTTCACCAGCTCAGTATGAGTATATGTTCCCGGCGTCCTATACAACAGGACAACTTGTAAATGAAAGTGAAATGATTTTGTGAAAAATTCCTAAAGGATGATTTTGTGGGTTTCCCCTCTCACCAAAATCAGTAATGTATTTTCTGCAGTTACTTGAGGATCTATCTGCATCTACCTGGGATTTTTATGGGATGGCTCTACCTGAAAACCCTTAGTAAATGTTCACTCTTTGCTTAACTCTCAGCATTTATGTTAATGTTACATCATATTACATTGTGCATATATTTTTGTTTTATTTTATCACTGGTTTCCAGATTCTTTAGGTTCATATATACCACTTTCCTGGGACTTGCTGGAGACATCTGCCAAAAATTGTGTGTGTGTGTGTGGGGGGGGGCATCACCACAGGATGAACGCTCATGTCTCCAGTGAGTTGCTAACTAGATATATCAGGAATCCATTATTAGTTTATGCCAGACACAAATGAATTGAAGTACACATGCCACAAGCCTTATCAGTAAAGTCCCAGGGCCTTCTGGGATGTGTGTAGGGGGTTTAGTTTGTCATTTAAAGGACCACTGTAGGTTAAGCACTAGACCATAAGGTCGGCTTGAACCCAAAGGTCGGCTGTTCAAACTCACCAGCCACTCCTCGGAAACCCTACGCAGGGTCGCTAGGAGGTGAAACCGACTCAATGTCAGTTTACAACAACGACAATCTTGTTTTGGAGTCCTGGTGTGCACTGTAGAATAAGCACTGGACTGCTAACCACAAGGTCAGCATTTCAAACCCACCCACCGCTCCTTGGAAACCCTATACAGGGTCAATATGAGTCGGAACTGACTCGACGACACTTAACAAAAACAACAACAATATATCATTTCTACCATTTGATTTTGTATTGTTTTCATGTCTGTGTTCTGACTTTCTTATTTCTTGGCATTTCTGGTTTCTCCTGGGTGTCCCTCTCCGCTTCAGTCCTGCAGAACCCAATGTTATCTTGGGTAAGCATTTTAAATTACATATAGACATATATTGTCAGACTGGTCCGCTACAAAGGTATGCTCATATTTTCACTATTAGTTTTTGGTTTGATTTGTCTTCTGCTGCAAACGTCTTGAGAGCAAGATGGCTGTCTCACCTGGTTAGAAGAGTTATCAGTGGTTCATTAATTGTCATGAATTGTGTCAAATCCCCTAAGCATCTTCCCTGTCCTTGCCATAGCACACAAATGCCATATTTGTTCAGCACAAAAAGCAAACAGTGCCTTTTGTGAAGAGCTCATGAGATTGGCAGCTTCTACTTGCCAGTCTGGGTTCTGCCATACTTTCTGACTAGATTTGGGAACAAACCCTTAAAACCTATCTTGCCAATAAAAAATCTTCCTTCCATCTTTACCAAAAAAAAGAAAGAAAAGAAACAGAGTAGCTCAGAGACTCTTTGACCCTGCCCTGTGTAAGCCATGGGAGGGAAATTCCAAGAGCCTTTTCAAACCTTTCTCCTTTCTCTTTCTATCCTTTGATATGTGACATGCAATTCTCCTCCTACCCCCCACCTTCATTTATCCTTTCTCCCTTTGTGGCCCTTTAAAAAATACCAAAGCTCTGAAAGTTCTAGGGTCATTTTCTTTTAACCTATGAAATGAAACCGAGCAGAAGAATAAAGAGGAATTTTAGAACATGCAGTGAACTGGGAGGCAGGGTCTCTGTTTTACCACTCTCCAGCTGTGTGGCCTTGGCCAAGTCTCTTCACTTCTCTGGACCTTGGTTATAAAATAACCAACTCTTCTCAGTTTTGTGAAAAACACTGAGTAGATAGGGTCCATTGAAAGGCATTTCCTTTTCGATCCCCAAGAGATTGTATGCAGGGGACAAAGGTAATGGATTTGGAATGTACCGAGAGCCCAAGATTTCTTTTCTAATCTTCATCTCTCTCCAGACCTCTATTTCCTGTTTATGGTTATTGCTGTCTCCAGGTATAAAATGGCCTTGCCTTACTTGCCCCTCTGCTAACCTCCTTTCTGATCCCTCCCACCAACACCTTTTATCCAGAATTCAGTAAGACACGGAGTCATGTCTCTTCCATTGATGCTGAATTAGAAGCATTTTTATCTTTTACTGAACTGTCTGATGAAAAAAATACAAAATTACTAGAAATGTAACTGACAATTAGCAATACCTTCTTTCCTCCTTGACAGCTAGAATCATCTCTACTCATTTGCATTCATAGTTCTAAAAAGGCAGAATTGAGGTACCCTTCCCTTTAAGGAATCCTGGTGTGATGCTGTAGGATAAGTACTGGACTGCTAACCAAAAGGTCGGCTGTTCAAACCCATCAGCCGCTCCTCAGAAACCCCATACAGGGTCATTATGAGTTGGAACTGACTCGACGGCACTGCCCTTTAGCTGCTAATGGATAGCGAGTAACAGGATCCAAAGTCAGAAAGAACTATGTCCGGAGGAGCAAGGAGAAGATGCTCCAATGAGAAACGGACACAATGAATCCCCATGAAACTTCATTAAAGCTTGACTTGTGGCTTATGTGGAGTCCTGGGGTGGCACGGTAGGATAAGCACTGGACTGCTAACCATAAGGTCAGCAGTTCAAACCCACCAGCCACTCCTCAGAAACCCTATCCAGGGTGGTTATGGGTTGGAACCGACTCGAAGGCACTTTAAGTGGAGTAGCTGGTGAGCCTGAACCTCTGACCTTGTGGTTCAAGCGGACTTTGCAGTGCAGTGCATTAACCCACAGTGCCACAGCAGGCCTCCAACAATGGCTGAGGAGCCAGTTGTTTTAACACCTTCACTGACCCCTCCCCTCCAAAGAGGTCTTTTTAAGAATAACTTTGCTTTTCTTTAAAGCCAAGTTATTGCCAATGGGATTTGTACCCTTGGGGATAGTGAGCCCCTACCCCCTTTGGGAGAGAAGACGTCAAGGATGCTCAGTACCTGTAGGTCTCAGGTGTTTTCTCTGATTGCCTGTAGCAAGGAAAATGTGTGTTATTAAACTACTGCTGGTAAAAAGAAAAAAATGAAGAATGTCCTCAGAAGTGGTTATATTGGGACTTTTCTGCAGTTTCCAAAATGTTCACAAATAATGTTGTTGTTATGTGCTGTGGAGTCGGTTCCGACTCATAATGACCCTGTACAGGGTTTCTGCGGCTATAAATCTTTACGGGAGCAGAAAGCCTCATCTTTCTCCTGCGGAACAGCTGGTAGTTTCGAACTGCTGACCTTGCTGTTCACAGCCCGATTCGTAACCACTACGCTACCAGAGCTCCTTTCACAAATAATACGCACTGCTTTATAATTGGACGGAAACTGTTCACTGAAGCATAAACACATGACATTTCTGTCTACCAGGACAAAACTACGTTGTGTCCATGTTGTTGTTGTTGTTGTTGTAATGTGCCGTGGAATCAGTTCCGATTCATAGCGACCCTGTACAGGGTTTCTGAGGCTGTAAATCTTTACGGGAGCAGAAAGCCTCGTCTTTCTCCCGTGAACAGCTGGTAATTTCGAACTGCTGACCCTGAGGTTCACAACCTGATTCGTAACCACTACGCTACAAAATCAATGTAGGTATACGTTGGTTTTTTTCTTAGTAGAGATGCTACAAATATGTTATAGTAAATGGATATACTGTATTTTCTGCCCATCACACATCCACAATAGAACACACATAGCACGCTTAGGAAAATAAAACTGTAACGCTTGTGCGATCCACCTGAAAGCGCCGTAGTAAGCGACTAAAATGACCTTTTCTTTCCCTCTTCTTTCCACTCCGTTAGCAGTAGCAGCAGTGACCATTTGGTGACTTCATATACCTGTGGCCCTGCAGCATGCTGCTTGGATCTCTCTCCTTTTCCTCAGTTATTGAGCTGTGAACAAATATATACGTATTTTAGGAAAGCTGTAGTTAAAGATTATCTTTGAGTAAAGAAGAAGACTCTAGTAACAAAGTAACCATGCTCTGTTTACCATAATCGGTTCTTATTGTTAAATACCATGGAGTCTGTTCCGACTCATCATGAACCCTGTATAGGGTTTCCGAGGAGCAGCTGGTGAGTTTGAACCACTGACCTTGTGGTTCAAACTGACCTTGTGAGTCGGTGTGTTATCCCACAGCGCCATACCAGCAATCCTCTAATTTTTATAAATTTGGGAAGTTAGTTACATAGTGATTTATTATACTAACTTTTTGCCTCAAAAGTACATTTAGAATCAATGTCTCAAGGAAAACCCATTTGGTGGCATTGATATTTTCCGTTGTTGACACTGGGTTCTCATCATGAAATTGCTGTCAAAACAGATAGAATTCTGTACACTTGGCAGACTTGCCTAAAAGCAAAGCCCAAGACTGGAAGAGCAGGACCTACAGGTCAAGACAGCAGGGCATTTGGCAGAATTACTTGCAGGAATCTGCGTAGTAGACTTTAACCAAAGACGGCTCACATTGTATTAAGCCCTGATTTCTTAGCCACTTTAAAGAATGAATAAACAGATCAACCAAAAGTCTGGCGGGGAGGAGCAGATCAGACAAATTGGAAGCACAGGTATTAATCATTTTAATCTATTAAATTTAAAAGATAGTTATTATTATAAAGCAATCTTTTTCCTGTGTATAGTTGTTTTCTCAAAATTATTTTCTCTGTGTACTGTCAATAACCAAATGTGTTCTTTTACGGGATATAATTCATAGAACTGGGAATTTGTAAGCTAGAAATGTCTGTAGAACTGAGCTAGTTCAACCGTCTCCATTTATAAATGGGAACTGAGTCCCAGGTCACACAGAAACTTCGGTGAAAGCTGGCCCTCAAATGTTAATGCCCTGTCACCTGTGGGCCAGTATTTTTTAGTTTTTTCAACTACACTCGCTGCCAGTGGAAATAATGTGCCTTGGTTTTTTTTATATTTTGTGTTTCAGGAATTGCAAGTCGTTCCAGAAAACATGGATGCAACAAGAAGGCGCAAGAAGGAATGCATGTTTCCTCCTTTTGGTCATACTCAGGATTGTACAAGTCAGGCCTCTTCACCAGAATCTTCTGAGCATCCAACTTTAGAAAAGGCCAAGAAAATCGAAGAGAATTATCATTTGTCTATTCCAAGGTTTCAAGAGGAAAATAAAGTGAAGAAGAAGGAATCTGTTTCCCAACTCAGTGGAAAAGAACAAGAAGCAAAGTTAAGAGACAGAAAGATAAATCTTTCAAATAATGAAAGAGACATGACCTCAGCCTCCGGTGGAACGTCTAATTTGAATGTTACAACCAAAGAAAGCTTGAAGAGCCCAGAAAGTGATTCTGCTTGCAGTACCAAGGAATTGCCAACCTGCAGACGTCAACGCCGACGAGGAGACTTAAGGAAGAAATGCACAGACGGGATATCTCCAAAACTTCACCTGAACCTTTTAAATGCAGAACTGGAAGACCTGAATATAAAATGCAAAAACATAGAAAAGGACTTTGAAAATGCCGAACAAGAACTTTTGAAGGCCAAAAAAATGGTCTCCTCCAAACGCCTAAACTGCCAAGACACTAGGATAGAGACTTCGAAGAAAGACTGTGAACTTCAAGCTTTACGAAATGACCTGACTAAAAAAGCAGCCAATGTCAAAAATTTGACGAAGGAGCTCCAGCAAGCCAAAGAAGTCATTCATAAGCTGAACCTAGAGAACCGAGATCTCAAAGAAACGGTTAAGAAGCTAAAGCGGCAATATGAAGTAGGAAACGCACTCCTCAAAGATGAAATGAAATTGTATTATGAATTAGAAATGGAGAAGCTCCGCGGAGAGCTCAATGCCATCAAAAATGAACTGAAAATTGAGAAGTCTCTGCAAGCTACAAACAACAGGGCCCTAGAGTTGTTTCAAAAACACTTTGCCTCAGTAAGGCCATCAACTACCCCTGGCCAATTACCAGGGAATGGTATTTAAAACAAAATACATGGAAAAATAAATAAATGAAGCCTTTCATTAGGCAAGTCATTGAGCCAAATCAGTGTTTATTGTATTTTCTTTGTGGACTGCTAAAAATGTGTGTGTTGGGATGGTATTGTTGTTCATTTCTGGAGAATCAGACTTATCTGTAAAACATCTTGTTTGTTCGCTTCAAAGCTTCCGCTCTTTTTCTAATGAAGGTATTGCCAAAGCCTAAATGGAAATGAAGCTTTAAAAACAAAATCTTTGTTCTTTTTATATTTTACTTAAAGACATGTAGTGATTCACCCAATTGTTTCTGAACAGATCTGCAGTTGTTTTGTGATCTTTGAGCATTATGTCCTTGGTACGTGAATATTCTTCAATCTCTGTTTACTGATGTTAACAATAAAAGAAGATCTTGTTTATGTCTCTTTAGCGTAACATGTGTCTATCTATGGGTCTTGTTCAAACTCAGTGCGATACCAAACATGTATCTGCTTTCTTGAGGGTCTAACCTTAGTTAGACACATGTAAACAGCTTAGGAAGAAATTGCCTGTTTGTTTTGTTTTCTTCCCCCTGCTATTTTCCCTCTGCTTTCTCCTCTGACCGGGCCACCGTCCCATAGACTATGCCAGGATCCTTGGTCAGCTCTGCTTCTGTCAGCAATGACTCTTGCATTTTCTTATGTTGGCCAGCAAGGGGCGTTGTTTATACAGTTCTAAAATTCATGCAGGGAAAAATGTATCGGCTTCCTGCTCAGCTTACAACACCGTGGTGAAACGTGTAGGATGTCATGTAGGGTGATCGTGAGCTGACTTGATTTATACAGTAATCCAGCCCGTATTATAAGGGACGCAGGCAATGACAATTTATTGGATACTTCTAAAAAGCAAATGTATTAGGCAAAATGATGGGCCAGCTGGTTCTTGGTATTTGTTTGCATCAATCATTAAGCTTTCTTGTCATTGGAGGTTTATTTGCCTGGTCTTTTAAAGCCCAACAAACCAAGTGTAATTATATAATACAATAATTCAAAAAACAAAACAAAACTTGAGTCAATTCCAACTCATAGCACCCCTATATAGGGTTGTTGTTGTTGTTAAGTGCCGTCGAGTCGGTTCCGACCCATAGCGACCCT